TGTGACGATCCCTCTGCGTCCAGGTTAAAACATCTCGTGTACACATCGAGCTGGAGGGTGTTGTTCACGCAGCACTCTTCCAGATGAAACGCCTTACACCTAAAAGTGGTCCTTTCTGGTTTGGCCACACCACTGACACTTCCTCCCTCCCCATGCTTCACATGTGCTTGAATGTAACTTGTGTAGAAAAATAGAAAAATGTAAAGCAGAAAATGATGCAGAAGATGGCACGTACTCTTCTTCTTTTAGTTTGCAGCCTCCGGCCCTGTGAGTTGAATCTGCTACAGGCTCCTTGCACTTACCTGGCTATTGCAAGCCTCCCTCCCTCTCTACTTGTCAGGTACCCTTATACTTGAGCTTCCCCAGGAAAACGGTGTGCTTCACCTTAATGTCCCCTGAGGAGCAAATGTGCGAGGTGCAGACACCAGACACCATGCTGTCCAGATGATGCTGTGGCACAGGAGGTCCCTGCGTGCTCTGGGGCTCTCTGAGCTGCTCTGCCCCGCTCACACACAGTCTTGGTGGTGATGGGGATCACAGGTACCTGTGTTATACGGTGCTCGAGCCCATCCAAAATATCCGCAGCACCAGGGACACGTGTGCTCACAGTCTGGTTTTAGTCAGCAGGGCAGTGCTGATCTGTAACCGGACAAGCACACGTGTCCAAAATGTGAGACCAGAATTTCATTTTCCTTAATGTCCAACCTGAGGAAACAGCCTGAGCAAAGAGCAGCCTTCACCAAGTATGCATTGATTTTACTTCGGCCACTTTTAAATATCCACGCTGTGAAGCAGGGTCCTCGCTTCCTCTCGTTCACAGAGCAGAGTTGCTCCTAGTGCTGCAGGAAGCCTGCTTGGCCTCACAGGGCCAACTTCCAACCCCGCATCGCCAAAACGAGCAGGAGGAGCAAAGGACCAGGACGACCCCCGCGCTGGGGGTCCGGGCAGCCTGTGCGCTGCCTCCCCCAGCTCCCTCGCCCCCTGCACCCCCTTACCTGAGCCGCCCACGTTGGACCTGAGCAGGCAGCTCCTCCGGGAGGAGGAGAAGGACGAGATGTCGCTCTGGGAGCGGCCGCGATGACCGGGCAAGGGCCAGGCGGGATGCGGCTCCCCCGCTCCGGTCCCCGGCCGCCCGGCCATCGCCATCGGGGAGCCGAGAGAAGGAGGGAGGCGAGGGAGAGCCCGGAGGGGAGGGCAGAGGGAAAGTTTGCAGAGGAAGAGCCGCCCCTCGGCTCCGACCGCCCCGCCGCGGAGCCGCCCCGCCGGGAGGGCGATGGGGTTTTTTGGGGGGTGAGCGATTTCGGAGAGGCTGCCAGCATCCAGCCCCCGTGGTACCGCGGGGGGAGGAGAGCCCCAGGGGGATGCAGAAGAGCCGGGGGGGTGCGGAGGGATGGAGGGAGGGGACGCGGGGGAACCCCCCCCTGTAGCCGCGATGAGTCAAACACACACCCCGGCTCTCCGGCAGTGCTGTAGGGACAAGTTTGCAGCCCCACAGCTCAACTTTTTTTGCCCAGCAGGCTGGGAAGCTTTTCATCTGAGAAACAGGATCCACGTTGAGCTCGGTGCAAAGGGAAGCCGAGCCCTGCGGTTTCCATTCTTTGTTTGTTTGTCTCGCAGACATACTTTGCGAACGCGGTTCAACGTCAGAGGAATGGTTCCACTGCTTTTGCTGGGCAAGTGAGTTCACATCCTGCCCTGAAGAAAAACCCAAAGTTTTATTAATAGCAAAGATCAACAGGGCATTTAAAACATTTTAATGTTTTTAACCCAGCCACTCTCAGATAACCCACTATCCAGTGCAAGGTCCCATTCAGACCACATGAAAACACCCTCGCATCTACCCTCACCAGGTCTGAATCAAATCCTATCAGGTCTGAAACGCACCCACGTCTGTTCATTTTGTCTTCTGCTTCCCGCTCAGGAACCAGGCCCTCCTTGCAATGCCAAACCCTCACAGCTCCCCAGGTGCGCTCATTTTGCAGCCTTCCCAGCAGTCACACCACTCGCCTTTCTCTGAGCAAGTGATCCAGTACATGAGGCTCACATGTCGGCAATTAGGCAGGTCTTTTCTGCTCAGCACCTCCCAGGGGACTGCCTCCATTAGTTCCTCTCCTCCTTTCCCATCCGCAGACAGCTTTCTCAGTAGATCTGTGCTGGGAGAGGCAGGGAGCTCCATGTTTGCAGACCTTCCTGTGGGGGCCAGGTTACTCCAGCATTGCGCAGGAAAAATTGTGTTTAGAAAGCTTCCTGCAAAGTCACGGACACCGGTCCTGCACTATTCACCAAGTCCAATAACATGCTGTTTTCATGATTTACCCCTTACAGCTTGCATTGTTACAGGTGTGGCTGTGCACTGAGGACCTTTTCTCTCACAGGAGGAGTCAACATGTGTGGGCTGGTGACATTTTCTGAACCTGTTTAAGACTTAATCGGAAGTGTACTCATAACTTCTATTTACCATTTTCTACCTTTGTTTTCTTAATTCAAAGGATGTGAGAAAGGTCATTAAACAAAATATACAGTTCATGCTTTACATCTCAGTAAAGTCAATAGTTCACTGATGCTGGTGAGCTTTGAGTGAGACCTTTTTTTTTTTTTTTTGATTATATTTCCTTCAAAGTATTTTGGGCCACAGAGCAATTGTAACGTTGTCGTGCTGTAAAGAATAAGCTTCAGAGTCTACTTCAAAACTCCCACGTTAAGGAGCCACTCCATATCTAATCCTTTGTTGTTGGTAGCAATGAAAAAGAAAGGTTGCAGAATACGAAGAAATCTAAAGATAAACTAGAAAAGATACCATAGAAAGAGGTCAAAGGTGTTTAAGAGTTTCTTTTCAGAAGCAAAATGACATCTAAAGAAACGAAGGTAAAAGAAGACCCAGAGAAAGTAGGTCAGCATTGAATATGAAGAGGCAGAAGATGAAAAAAAAAAAAAAAAACAAAAACCTAAGGGCTCCTAAGTGTGATATCAAAGTGTACTTGTAGATCAGAGTAATGTGAATGATTGGTCAGAAAAAAACAATATTGTGGAAGTAAAAATGTTTTTTATCAGCCTGTAACTTACACTCATAGAGGTATATAACTGAGAACGCCGCCCTCCTCCCTTCACCAAAAAAAAAAGAAGGTACTTAAGGTACTTCCCTTTTTTACACAGCCCTTTAAATAATTTTGGATGCAATGTAACAGCTGTGGTTAACGGCTCTGGAAACTGAAGTTCTATTTCCCTAGATCAGGAAAAGCCCTAGCAGTATACATCTTACAGACGTCGAGAAAGATTAATTTAGTTGACTGCTCATTTATTTATTTACTTATTTATTAACTGTTCTGATGAGATTGCCAAAGAAAATGTCACTCATTGTGATGATTTTGGAAAGCTGTTCTTTGATGATTAAGCCAAGTTATTTCACAAAGGCTGTCCAGTGGCCACTAGGGCCTGATGAAAATATATGCAATTCAGGCATCAGAGAGTGGAGAACCATTAGCCTGGGCAAAAATGATGCTGGAAAAAGCATGTTTTAAAAATGGTGCCTGCAACCCATGATCTGCTGCTGCGCAAGAGCTGAACATCATCACCTTCTGAGGTGAGTGTGGTGGTTTTACTCGGGCGGGCAGCTGAGCTCCACCACAACCTCTCTCTCACTCCTCAAGAGAAAAGGGGGAGAAAATATGATGGAAAGGGCTCAAGGGTTGAGATAAGGACAGGGAAATCACTCAAAAGTTATTGGCATGGGCAAAACAAACTCAGTGTGGAGAGATTAGAGAAATTCATTACCTTTTTTTAGTCGAATGGAAGCTGCAGTCAGTCTATAGCACTTTGCCTCCGCTGCTCCTTCACAGTCACTCTGCCCCTGCTCCCCGTGGGGTCGCTCCCGTGGGATGCCATCCTTCCCCAACTGAGTCTGCCGGGGCTGCCCATAGGCAGCAGCTCTTCAAGCACTGCTCCCACACGGCTCCGTACCACAGGGTCCATCCATCCCCCAGGAGCAAACTGCTCCAGCACGGGGCCCCCACGGGTGGGCAGCAGCTCCCCCCAGACCCCTGCTCCTGCAGGGGCTCTCCATGGGCCGCAGCCTCCTCCAGGCCACATCCACCTGCTCCATCGGGGGCTCCTCCATCCATGGGGGGCTGCAGCATGGAGATCTGCTCCATGTGGGACCCATGGGCTGCAGGGGGACAGCCTGCTCCACCAGGGGCCTCTCCACAGGCTGCAGGGGAACTGCTGCTGCATGTCTGGAGCTCCTCCTGCTGCACTCACCTGGGGGGCTGCGCAGCTGGTTCTTGTTCCTCTCTCCCAGCTGCTGTTGCAGTTTGTTTGTTTGTTTGTTTGTTTGTTTTTCCCTTCCTTAAATCTGCTGTCACAGAAGCACAACCAGTGTCACATATTGGCTCAGCTCTGGTCAGCAGCAGGTCCCTCTGGAGCTGACTTGAACTAGCCCTTATCCACCACAGGGCAGCTGCTGGGGCTGCCTCTGAGGCGGGTGCTGGCAGCAGAGCCAACCTTCAGTCCTGGTGCTGGCTGCAGGCCCTGCTGCTCTCTGCAAGCAGGTTTTCTTTTGGTAAACACTGAGGGAGAAGGCTGGGTGTTTGGGACACCAGCCATGCATGGCCAGGCACTTCCAGCCTGTGGCATGAGAAAGAGGAAGGGCAGGTTATTGACCAAGACAGAAGCCAATTACTTATTTTTTATTAAAATCCTCCTATTCAGGCAACCCTTGCTGATAGAGCAGCCAAGTGAAGCAGCACTGACAGGCAGCAACATCTCGACTCGTGTGCTTTTCCACACAAGAAGAGGGGAACCGCGAGGCTCGGTCACCCAGCCTGGGGGCAGGCAGGGAAGGAGCAAGGCTTAGGAGGGGGTGCACAGGCAGAGACAGAAGCCTCCTAGGAGCCCGGCACACACCGGATAAGCGTGGCTAGATTGAGCCCGACCAGCTCTGGCTGTGCTCCTGCTCCCACTCCGGGCAGGGGCCGGCCCCTTGTGCAGGAGCCACCGCCCCCAGCCCCGCCTTGTGCCCGGCCCCCGCCCGGCCGCCTGCCGCCGCCATGTCCGCCCCGCTGGGGCTGCTGCTGCTGCTGCTGGGACTGCCCGGGCTGCTGGTGGGGCGGCCCCGCTACGAGCCCACCTGGGGCTCGCTGGACTCCCGGCCGCTGCCCGCCTGGTTTGACGAGGCGAAATTCGGCGTCTTCATCCACTGGGGCGTGTTCTCGGTGCCCAGCTTCGGCAGCGAGTGGTTCTGGTGAGCTCCCCGCCTCGCCCTCGCCCCCCGCCCCCGAAATGGCGGCCCCCGGGGAGCAGCGCTTCGGGGACGGGGGTCGTAGCCCTAGGGGGCTGTTCCTCAGATAGGGTCGAGCAGAGAGACCTCGGGCTTCGTGGCCCTGGTTAAGGAGGCGAATGAGGCTGGTACACACGGCCAGGTGTGTGTGCAGCCGGGTGGGCTAACGGCAGCCACCCGGTGAGCAGGGGGGGCAGAGCTGGAGGGTGCGTCTGCAGTGCTCGTGAAGGAGCTAAAGCAGCAGAGGCCGCTCAGGTGCCACAGTGACGGGTCAGAAGAAGCAGGTTGCCCCAGGATCTGTGTGGGACAGGCACTGCAGATCCCACAGCCTCAGAGAGAGGGTTTTGAGCAGCCCCTGTGAAGCCCGTCGCTCCCCACATTGCCTCCCTTGCTTGGCACGCTGCCTGCTGCTTTCCTGTGCACCTTTTGTGCTGGTTTTATTTGTTATTATTAGGTACTGCTCTCCACTTAACCTAAAGCCCAGATCCTTCAAATAATCGTAGTTCAAAGGCTGGATGAAACCTTGGGTTTGTTGAGTGCTCGCTGGCTCAGGCCCTTTGGCTGTGGCCATTTATTTTGCCACCTTCTTTCCCTTCTCTACCAAATGCTTCCTGTAGGACTTGGAGCGAGGCGCCCTGCGTCGTGTACAGCGTGAAGGTTAACAGCTCTCCAGCAGAGCTACCGGAAAGTTTAAATGCAACAATCGTAAAACAAATCAACTTCCGTGTAAGCAAACCACTGTTCTTTGAAGGCAGTATTTGGCTTCAACTTTACAGAGTTATGTTTAAGGATACCAGGAGTTTTTTAATGTATGCTCTATTTACTAAGTAATGACTCTGTGGAGCAAAAAAAAAAAAAAAAAAGAGCTAGGTTTTGGATCAAGCCTTACTCTGAGTGCTGTGCTCCCAGAGTAGGATTCATACACAGATTCAGGCTCAAGTATTAATTTTCTGTTGTTCTTCTAAAAACAACCCCCGGTTCTTAGTCGATAATGTTGTTTATGTCCCCGTTGCCTCCCAACCTTAGGTATGTATAGGTGTGGAGTTGCTTCAGGGTCTTACGGCAGCATGCACAGTCAGGTGGCTGAGGTCCTTTGCTGACAGCTTCAAAGGGAAGGTCAAAAACCCCTATGGTCACCCACTCTGCCTTCTTCCCTTCAGAGCTGCACAGCCTTGGTCTGTACAGTTCTAAAACATAATCCTGCCAGAGCACAAGTGTTCATGTTATTAGCCAGCTGTTGACAAATGAAAAGAAGGATGTTACTTCTCTTTATGCAATTACATACTTTAAAATCAGAGTTTTCTTTTTTTGTTTGTTTGTTTGTTTTCCAGGTTCTTGCATGGAGGAAGACTGTCACAGCCTCTTTTTTTTTTCTTTTTTTTTTTTTTTTCCCCTCATTGGCTGCTAGAGATTGCTTGCTTATGCTGAAGTCTGTTTGGGAAGGTTACAACAAGTTCCATGCAGCTGCTGTGGTCATGCAAAGCTGAGGTCAGAGACCAGCTCAGGACAGGAAAGAGAAGCACATTTCAGACATTCAGATTCTGTTCTTCTTTTTTTTTTTTTTTTTTCCTTTTTTTTCTTTTTAATTTTTTTCTTCCTCTTTTTTTCCTTTGTTTTTTCTTTTTTATTCCTTTTTTTTTCCTTCACTTTCAAACTGTATTCATGTATGCCTTAATTTGCCAACAGGAGCTTTGCTGCTTGGCTTAATTCACAGGAAGGTGAATGCTTTCAAACCCTTTTCCCCTAAATATTAGCAATCACAACATATATTGTTAGAAGGCTTCCAGCAGTAAGGCTGTTCATTCTGTAAGGACTGTTGCATGCTGTCTTTGGAATCCCTTTTTCATTTCTAGGGGAGAGAGCGAAAGAGCAGTCCGAAAAAGAAATAGTGCTCTATTGGCAGTTTATGAGCTCTGCCCATGGTGAGGGTGAGAGCCCACCTTCAGGCCACAGAGCAGCTCCAAACCTTGTTGTGTATGGGAACAGTTGGAGTAGTGACATTGCTGGATGAGGACTTGACACATGAAATCCTGGGACCTTTCCAAAGTGAAATGAGTAAAGGAAGCAGAGCATGGGGAAAGAGAACAGAGAAAAGGAAGGCTTTTATTAGCAATACTGCTAGGTTCTGAAGCAATTTTATCTGGTTGCCAGTGTCATGTGCTACTCAGCATGAACACAAGTAAGAGCTGATCATTTCAGTTCTGTCTTCTTTGTCTAAAACATCACCAGCATATGCGGTTTGTATCTGTATTTTGTAGGTGGTACTGGCAGAAGGAAAAGAGAGAGCCCTATGTGAAATTTATGGAGGCAAACTACCCACCTGGGTTCAGTTACGAAGATTTTGGGCCACTGTTTACATCAGAATTCTTTGATCCCAACCAGTGGGCAGATATTCTGAAGGCTTCAGGTGCAAAATATGTGGTCCTAACTTCAAAACATCATGAAGGTAAGTGGAAAGCTTGTGAATGTTAGCAATTGTTGCATTTCTGTTAACTGAAGAAAAATCCCCCTGACTTCCTGGCCTGCTAGGAGAGAGAGAAAGAGAAAGCTACAGTTACCTGCCCTGACCAAGCCAGAGAGTTTAAAAATGCCTAGGAAATGTGTTAGAGTGAGGAAAATGCATACACAAAGCTATGATATGGTCGTGAGGCTTGCATAGAAGGAAGAACAGAATGTGCCCTGTTTCTCTTCTTATAGGTAAGACTGCCTGAAGTGGTGGGGTCAAGTAGGGTCAGCTTCTAGATGAGTTAATTTCAGAATTAACTAGACGAGTTAATTTCTGATTGTTGTGTAATTTATTGCTCAAGCAAGCACAAAAGTGCATCCTGCACTGTTTCATGTACAGAGAGCTGCTGTGTTCAGGCAGTGAACTAGCTTTGTGGGTTTCCCCAGGGAATTCAGCAGTATGTTCCAAGAGTCAAGATACTCTGCAGAGAAAAGTAAAGAAAAGGAAGTGGTTAGAAGGCAATGTAATATCAAAGAAAAGTGTAAAATACTAAGCAGCAATGTGATGGTGCATTTAGTGAACGTGTTTGGGGAGATGTGGGCTCAGCTAGTAACGTGTGAATTTTAATTCCATCTCTGACAAACAAAATCCTGATCCTGATGATGCCAGTGGCGTAATTCCCACTGACTTCAAAAGAACCGAGATTCATTTAGTCTGTCCTGTAGCCTTGGGCATGAATTTTTAGCTTGTTTATCTCTGGTTGATATGATTACACGTTTCCAGTTCACAAAAATACTGCAAGATTTATTAGGCAATAAGCGTGAAGGCGAGAGCGGAGCTCCTCTGGCAGTGGCTTAAGTCTGCAGCGCAGTAGTACCTGAAGTGCTCAGGCTGGATTTCCAAATGCCTGAAAAGTGAAATCTCTCCTGATACTTAATGCTGATACTTTAAAAGCAGTTTCAGGAGGTTTTGCACTCTGCTTATATACATGTACCGAGCCGTTCTAAATGTCGAGACAAATGACTAGTGACCATTTGCATAAGATGTAAACACAAGGGAGGAGCACAGCCTGAATGGAAATGATAGCTTGTGTATTTTGCAACAGAGAGTGTTTCATCTTCCAGTTGTTGAATGTGTATTCAGAGTTCATATTTACTGCATTGCGTGAAACTCTAGTTGCCTCAGAAGTTGCTGCATTTTTGGTTAATTTAATTGGGACATCTGTATGAGTGAACAACGAAAGAGGAAGGAATAATTATTCTAAGCAGTACAGTACTAGAAAATGCATGTTTATGTATAAAATATATAAATGCATCAGGCATTGTATTCTAATGTTATGGCTACTGCCACAATGCATAAACAGATTATAGGTATACTTTATACCATGATAACCATATTGGTACATCTATTATTTTTATTATCAGTTTGGTTTTTTTTGCAACACGTTTGTAAATTACTTCCCAGAAGGAAGAACTGTTACGTCCCCTCTGCTGCTTCTCTTTCTTACCTTTTAATTATCTTTTTGCAGGCTTTACTTTGTGGGGTTCCAAGTATTCTTGGAACTGGAATGCTGTTGATGTGGGACCAAAACGAGATCTTGTGGCTGAACTTGCAACATCTGTTAGAAACAGGACCGACCTGCGTTTTGGGTTGTATCACTCCTTGTTTGAATGGTTTAATCCTCTCTTCTGTGAAGATGCCACCAACGTCTTCAAGACAAGAAAGTTTCCAACCAGTAAATCATTACCAGAACTCTATGAAATTGTGACCAAGTACCAACCAGAAATAGTTTGGTCTGATGGGGATGGAAATGCACCAGATACTTACTGGAACAGCACTGGCTTTCTAGCTTGGCTGTATAATGACAGGTGTATCATGATGCTATTTTAGCTCCTAATCTGAAATTCTGCTCTGTGTCTAGTTTGTCTCGTTTTCTCTGTATTTTGTGGAACCTATTACCTCTACTTATGGGGACTTCATTAAATCTTAATTTTCTTGAAACTCAGAGTGCCAAGAGTCCAGGTCTTCCCTAAAACTATTGAAGCTTACTTTAGAAAAGGACTTTCATACTATTTTTTTTTTTTAAACCATGCTTGCAAGTTCATCAGTTAAGATGGCAATGGTTATTCTATCTAATCATTTTCTTTCCTAAGTATTGTCTGCTGCATAGGCAAACAGGATAGGGGGATAATTTGAGAATAGGGTGCATTGTTGTCAACACACCCCAAATATCTGGCAGTGGATATGAAGAGCAGACTGCTTTCTGGCAGGCCTCCTATGAAAGTCTGCAGCATATTTCCCCAACAATGCCAAGCTGGACTTTCTACTAGAAAAGGATGAGAATTGGATTCCTGAAATTGCACTTAAACTAATAGTAATGAATTAATAGTGCAGAAGTCATCAGAATGTTAGTTTCTGGGAGGGACGTGGTGGGTGGTGGGGAGAGATGATGCTCTCTGTGACTGTAATTTCTAGAATAAAAATCATAAACTTAAGTATTCCTTGCTTTCAGCCCAGTTCGGGACACCGTTGTGACCAATGACCGCTGGGGACTCGGCAGCATGTGTAAGCACGGTGGCTTCTACACGTGCAGTGACCGATACAACCCCGGACACCTTCTGCCTCACAAGTGGGAGAACTGCATGACCATTGACAGGTGGTCATGGGGGTACAGGAGGAACGCGAAACTCGACGATTACTTCACAATTGAGGAACTGGTGAAGGTATGGCGGGGCAAAGGAGTTGCCTCCAACTCCTGGTTATTGTGTTAGACTGTACATTTCAATTATACATCTGTTTTAATGAAAATTATTAATTAAATAATGAAGCAATGAAATAATTTTGTTCATTTGCAGCCTAACAATGGCAGCCTGTAATACCCGTATAATTCTTACTAATGTTATAAAAAATACTGTGAAAAATACTATCTAGTAAAAATTCAGTCAGTTTCTGTTTCTAAGCTATTCCCTCTGTGAGGAACTGGTCAAAGACTGATCTGGATAATCGTTGTTCTAGGATTTTTTTCTAGTAACTGCACTTCTGAGTTGACAAGAAGCTAACAGCTGCAGTTTCACAGAGACTCCTGTCTGAAGGCTATGTTTTTTCCCCCTTCTAGCTAGAAATGTTTTATAACTCAACAGTCTTTCATCTGGTAGCTAGAAACTTGCCTTCCATTCTACTTCATGTTTAAAAAAAAAAAAAAAAAGAAAAAAGAAAAAATGAAAACAAAAAACTCTCAGACACATAGATAGCCCGTGTTAATGGAAAATTGATTCCATTAGCTTGTCTAAGGTATTAAAAAAGAAGATTTGAAGCTTGGAAAAACTGAATGAAAGGAAGACTTAACTTTCAGATAAAATGCATTTAATTGGAAAACTCAGCTAATGAAGAGGAAGATTGTTGTTGCTTAATCCAAATCTGTCCTTTGTATTGTCTTTGCAAAAGATAATTTCAAACTGAAGTAACCTTTCTTCAGAGGAGGAGGTCTTAAATTCATTCAATAGCTTGTCTCCAGTTGTCTGTTCCTCAGACTTGTGTATCTCAGGCTGATCTCTGGAGGCCAGTGTGGATGGAAACACATTTATGGACTTCCTAGAAGGATCATCAATCTGTTTGCAGATTGTTAAGTTTATAATATGGCACTAGAGTAGACTTGGTGAACATGTGATCTTAAGAAGATGAGATTAAAAAAAAGTATTAGTAAAATTGCCTGCCTCTTCTTGTTTAAATTGCTTCATGGATTAATAGGTCTGGGAAAAGCTGTGCTCCTGGATGAATGAACCCTTTGAAAATCTAGATTATATGTAGGATTTTTTTTATTGCTACCATGTGCACAGACATGAAAACACATTCAATTTTCCATCCCCTTTTCCATCCTCTTCCATCACTCTTAATAGAAGGAACATTTCATTTGAATCCCAGTCTGTGCATTGTGTGTTATAGAAATAGTTATGTACAACGTGAGTTTTACAGGCACTAAGGTCTATGACTACTGTGCATAAAAATGAACACCCGTTCTGTCACTGGCTCCATTTGCAAAATGTAGACTACTAGGAAGATCCTAATAGTACTCTCAGGGATGAGATTTATTCTTTTCTACATAAATTATTGAGACTGCTTCATTTTCTTCTGAATATTTTATGAAAACTGTACTAAATATGTAGAGCTTCATAGTGTTTTACAGATCTCCCCATAAAACAGGGAGAGCATCAAACAGGTGAATAATATGAAGTTGCTTTTCCCAGCTTCAGTAAAAAATGAAGTGGCATCTAACTAGCCCTGTTTTCCTCTCATGCAGAGAAATAATCCTCTGCCTGTTCTATGGAGAAATTTCTCATGAAATTGAGAAGTCAAAATGTTAAAAAGTTGTAGGATCTGATTCTAATGTAGATTCAGTCAGACATACTGGTGTGAAAATGTAGTTGGGGCTACTTCCTGCCATGCAAATTGACAGCAGAGCTTTGTTTTATGGGAGCTTCAATTTTGTCTTGGCTGTTGGGATGGCGTCCAAAGTCTGAGCACGCGGCAGTAATGCACCTAGCCCAATCCATCATTCTGAAGCAGCACACCAGGCTTTAGTAAGAACTTCAAATATACCATTTCATTTGCCGTGACCATATGTTCTGTGTATGTGTTTAAAAACATTTCAGCAACTTGTAGAAACAGTGTCTTGTGGAGGAAATCTCCTGATGAATATCGGGCCCACTCATGATGGTCGCATCGCTCTTATATTTGAGGAACGCCTGAGGCAAATGGGTGCCTGGCTGAAAGTCAATGGAGAAGCCATCTACGGAACAAAGCCGTGGAGAGCGCAAAATGACACGGTCACACCAGACGTGTGGTAAGGCCACTGAACCAATATACAGGCTGTGTACAGCAGTGTGTGAGGAAATTATTGAATTCTTCATGCTGTGATACTACGGAAAGCACCAGCTTGCTTTGTGTGCTCTGAAGAAATGAACCCTTTTGTCTATTTAAGAAACTGCGTGGAAGTGTGTATAAAAATGTAGGTGGACAGTGGGTGTCTGAGAATGTACTATTGGGATGATGCCAAGGCTGAAGGGACGGTTGCAAGAGTTTCCTTAATGATCTTGTGCTTATTAGTGGAGCTGGCAGCAGAAACAACAAAAAATAGTAAATAAAATATCCAGACACATAAAACTGCTATGAGGTGGTGTTTATCTGTATAATAGGAATGCTTTTTCTTTAGAGAGGAGAGAAAGAAACTAGAAATCTAGAAAACTAGAAGAATATATTTCTTTTTAAGGTAAAAACACACAGGAAAATAATAGCAATTGTTTGGTCAGTAAAAAGCTCAGCCAGCCTCTGAGCTCTGCTGTGCCTTTGTGCTTCCTAGCTGTTATAGCTCCGTAGCGATCCACGAGGCTTTTTTTCTGACTCTCTTCTCTGCCTCACTTGGCTTTCTTTAGTCCTGCTCCAAGCAGAATTATAAAAGCTCGCTAAAGTTACTAGAGTGTTTACTTCTAAACTAGAACGTTTACTTCTAAATAAACTTTTTGAATAATCTCTATTACCTCTAGTTTGTCCGAATGTGTTTTCAAGGAATAGTACTTTAATAAAGGGTATAGACTGTATGAAGTGAAAGTTATGCATGTGAAAATGTAATTAACGCTGACTTTGTGAATCTTTTTTTTTTTTTCCAGTCTTGAAAGAATGATATAGATTGCTTCAGAAAATTTACAAGGAAAGACTGAAATGTGTTTCTGTTCCCCATTTCCAACAGGTACACATTCAGACCTACAGAAGGCAAAGTTAATGCCATCTTCCTTAACTGGCCAATCTCTGGGGCTCTGGAACTTGGTGAGCCACAGGCTAAGCTTGGGGAAACACAGGTAAAAAGACTCTTCATACCCTGTGTTTAGAACTGTGATTTTTTTTTTTTTTTTTTAACACGTTACAAGAAATGAACGTGCTCTGAAGGGATGTGGAAAACAACTCCAGGATTTGTCATGTTCCATCAGTGTTTATTTTAGTTTCTGGCATCTTTGGGAATGCATACAGAGTACTTTGGAAGAGACCCAGCTAAATGTTATTTTTTTGTTCTGGGACCTTCCTTGTCATAGTCGTCCCAGTGGGATGTTTCTTCTTAAAGTCAGACCGAGTTGTTGCTGGGATATATTTTAGCTTTCAAACTAAGGATCATAAAAAGAGGCCAAGTAGCAGGAAAGCAATGGAGTCACCTCTCGTTTCCGCTGTAGAATCTATCCCAGGATGACCTTTCTTTATAAATGCGCACCCTTATGCTCCTGTAATTGCTGTAATGGTCCAGTAGTTTCACGTGAAAGCCTTGCACAAAGGGAACACACACAGAGGTTTTGGTTGCCTGGGAGTGTAAAACAGTTACTGGATGCGACTCTAAACGTGCACTTCAGAGCAAGCAGGGGTCAGAAGCTGAGGATGCTGATACCACACCTCCAAGTAGCCTGACCCATTAGAAGCAGAATTATAGAGCAGAACACATGGTGCTCAGGACTTAATATCCACCCTACTGCACTTAAAGGCTTTGCTTTTGCTTAGGTCAGTTCTGGTCTCATGCGGTCGATGCCCACTAGCTGTTGAAATGCATGGTGTTTTTCTGGACTGCAGCTTCTTGTACAGTGTTACCTGAAAAAATATCTCATTTTTAGTGAGGTGGCTCTGTGAGGTGAAGAGTCTCACTTCAAAAGCACTCCAACCATCGTGTAGAATACAAATGTAGATGTATCTTGAATTTCAGAGAGGTGCCTGGACTATCTGTGCACAAAAAAATCACGTTCCTCAGGGGCAGAGACATTTTCAACTGTTTCCTTAAGCTGCTCCACTATTTTTAGCGTTTCATACTAGCTAGCGTACAAGTCTCCCTGCAAAACATTGTTTTTAGTGGGGCAGGTTCTTCAGTCAGCTTTGAAATGTCTGGCTGCACTCTGTAAGAAATGTTGATGCTTATTCACAACTACAAGCTCCACCATAGGAAGCAGGCATTTCACAACCTACCCACCTGCTGAGACCCAAATCCCATCCCAGATACTCCTGACAAAAGTTTATGTACCTCTTACAGACCCGAGTACTGATTTAGACAAAACATCACTAGCTTTATTACTTACATACCTACTTCACAAATCTTTTTCCTTTACTTCTATTCATTGTGTTAAATTAATTTGGTTGTTAAAAGCATTTATGGATAATCAAATAGTAGCGATGGAAGAATGCCTCCCCTGATGAAAATGCAATTATATGCACTTTAAAACTCCATTGTTCTAATTGTCCTGTTGGCTTCTATTTCAGGTGAAGCTTGTTGGCTACAAGGAGCCACTGAAATGGATTGCATTAGGAGAAAAGGGAATGGTGATAGCTCTACCTCAGTTAACACTTAAACAACTGCCATGTCAGTGGGGCTGGACCTTGCAACTGACTGATGTAAAGTGAGCCGTACCTTGGAGCCTTAGATAATATGGTTTGTTTGTTTTTTCCTGCCCATCTTCTTCACTGCACTGTTTAATTCCTATTTGCTTGACTACCTTTATAAAAAAAAAAAAAAAAGTTTTAAAGGGTGGAATTAAATGAACCTCAAATGAAATCCAGCACTAGATTGTTATATCTGTGTACAACTTGCTTCTTTGAACTTGTGTGACTAACTGAGCATCTACCTTGCCAAGAAACTGGACAGAAGGAAAAAAAAAAGCAGAGGTCAAGTTGAAAAGGAGGGAAGAATAGGGGCAGTAGTTTTTTTTTTTAAAGCCACGAGAAAACAAAAGCTAGATCAAACTTATATTCAAGAGATCAGACAACTGCACATGTATGTTTGTTGTATACCTTCTTTAATGAAAGAAATTTTAACTTCCACAAACCTGCATTGTAAAAACCTGTCAGTTTTAGAGAAAAGAATGAATTTCCCCCATTGTGTGCTACAACCAGCAGCTGGTAGTTTCAGGTGAGATGGATAATGCATCTACAAAAACCATCTTATAAAGGTGAGGAATTCATTACCAGTGCATGGAGGCAATGCATTTGTACACTTCTTCATCATGAGAATCACTAATTTTTACACACTCCTACCTTTGAGTAATTCTTACTATTAGGGTATAACTAAGTAAAGTGGGAGTGTTTTTTTTGTTTTGTATGATTTCATAGGTTAAGGCTGACTCCTGTTTACATCCATTGTTTTTACAGTTACCAGGGTGCCTTCTGTGGACTACTAAACAATCAAAACCCCCATATATTTCAACAATATTTTTTTTTTTGAGAAATAATGAGGAGTTGCTAGGAATCCTCAGCTTTGGCAGGAAGACAGCAGCTTAAGCAGAGGGTGGATTGTGTCCAATTTGAAAAATTCCCAAACGCATCATGTGTCAGGATTAGTAATCGGAGACCTGCAATGTGAGGTTTGCAAAAAGGGGGAGATACAGGACAACAAAAAGCATCAATAGTTTTAATGTGGACTCTCTTTTTTTTCCTGAGTAACGTTAATAAATGCAGAACTGTTACAGGCTTTAAGTAATAGGCCAATAAGGTATTGCCTTCTCTGCTAGTAATGTTATCACACGCACAAATTTTACATTAAAATATTTTATTACAATACAGACAATTGGGCTCAAAATTAATACAAATTAAGCTAAAATATTTACAAGTTAATGTGTACAGTGTAGCTGTTTGAACAGCATAAACAACTTCTAAAAATCCACATTCTTTTAAGTAACAAAGAGAGCACCCCCCACCCCCAGCCTGTTCAAGAGGCATGTGCATCCGTTGGCAAAGGCTTTCTGAAGAATGAGAAACCCTCTGGAATAACACTTGTAAAGTCAAGGAAAGAAGAGTTTTTCTTTACAGAAAGAAAAATCTGGCGGAAGAATAGAAAAGCTGTACTTCATACTGCTATTCTTAGCTCACCGTCAGTCGTGTTTTTCCCAAAACCTAACACACCCCAGACAAACAAGTTATTTTTTCTTAAATAACTTGTTGTAACACTGCCACCAGATGCCTTCCAGATGCAATAAAAATAATCAAATGAATTATGCAAGAGTTTAACAACTTTTAATAGAAAAGTCTTTACATACAATGATTCTTTCAACAAGAATATTTTTAATGGGTGTTTGAAACAGAATTCTATTAGATAGAACAAATACGGGCTCGCTCCCAGTTTTTTCAGTATGTTCTTTCTGCTGGTCTACCACTCCTACACCATTATAAAATTAACCCAAATCTCATCAGTAGTCACACGGGTTGTGTTATAAATACATGATCTATTCCTATTAGTGTGCAGCTCATTTCTCTAGTTGCTGAGGGGTACTAAAAGCTTCGTAAACATTAGCAGCAAAATCTTTCACTTGTTCCATCATCAACAGGTCCTGGAAGAAATTTAAGGAATGAATTTGCTTAATCAAAAACACACCCACCACTTAATCAAAAGCACACAGCCACCTCTCTGGTTTTGCTGCAGTACATGATTGCACTCATCATGAGAAAAGCACCTGGCACTCCCACAGAGATCTAACTCAAATTTCTTGCATTAGAAAGGTTGATGAAGAGAACTCCAAATAGAACCAAGTTTGAGACCTTTTTCTGCTTCTGCACAGTTTAGTGCAAAGAAGAGATCGCATGGGAAAAAAAAGAAACATCTTTTTGGAAGATACAAGCTTTACAAAAAGTTATGCCAGTTTCTTCTTTTTTTTCCCTAAGCCATTGAAATTAAATAAAATGTGATATGTTACCTAAAAAGAAATGTACAACATCTCAAGATTTTATTTGGGATATTTTAAATAAAGTAAGATTTTTACCTGAACAAAGTGACTGGGTGTTTCACTGCATACTGAATGGATCTGTCCATTTATTATTGGAATTATCTTGGCTAAAGGAAGACTGACACTGGAAAGACTAGAAGAGATCAAAAAATAATGATTTAGACCCGCTCTGATATCAGTAAAACTACTAAACAGTGAATACTACTATTCTAAATAATTACTACTTCAAAACTAATCGTTGGAAGAACTTAGTTTTGCATAGAGCACAAACTGGAGTATACAAATGAAGGTTTTGTCCCTGTTAAGTCTTTTTCATTGAATACAGAGAACTACCAAAGCAAATTTTATCCTGCCTGTTGGTGTTCCTGTTACACAGTTTCACATTTGCATGACATGCAAGGGAAACACGGTTTAGCTACAGTCTGTGTGTGTGTGTGTGTAAACAGTTGTTAGAAGTGTCAATTTCTGATCACACACTTTCAGACTCAAAACCAAGCTTAGGAGAGAGAGCCAACCTAAAGACTTTTGGTTATTCTAAGCATTGTAAATAGTCTACATTTAAATACAAACTTATGACTCAAGAGCCATTAGTTATTAAAACAAACATATATAAGCTAGTTATTATTCAAAATCTTCATTTTAATATTTTAGAAATTATATTTCTAGGATTGGAACTCAGCTTTCAGATTTCTAACACACTGTACTGTTTTAAAACCAACTTCAGAATAAAAGCTACATTTTTACAGTCCTTTGGGAGGAGGCAGAAGATCCTCAGTGTTAGATTTTTTTCAGCATACCAGTGAAAAACCAAAAGCTCTGTAGGTACTTATGCTTATACATATTTGCAGAACCACAATGCAGAACCAGCAATGCCCAGCTTCCTTGAGAACTACAATAATTAACAATCAGAAAGTGGGGCCTATAGAGCTATCTTTCTCCTGGCCTCATAGGGGAGTACTGCAAGTACTACACCACCAGCGGCACAAGTCCTCCAACCTAGAAAGGCAGTCTGCTTGTACAGCACTAGGAAACCCTGGTAGGTATAGGTCTCCTGACTTCTGTTACATCTGCAAGTAACGGTGGGGAAGATACCTCAGGAAAATTCTTGCAAGCTCATGGGTGAGAAGACACATGCAATACTCCTAGCTCTGCTTGACTGAAGTGAGGAGACGGTATTTATTCTTGAACAACAGGAAACAGAAGTCTTTCCAGCATGAGAACCTCAACAAGGCAAGAAAATCACTAGCCCTTTTTAGAATTCACTGTGAGGCTAAAAGAATTATCGTGTAAGAACCACAACAAAAGGAAACATTCACCTATTTACAGAGCCGTTCTGAGACAGGTCCTGTTCAGTAGGTCTGAAAAACTCCGCCACGTTGTCCAGCAGCTGACTGAATCCTCTGTTTAAACACGTGCTCAAAACTGTACTGAAGTCTGGACTGAAAAAGTAAATAAGTGCTGTTTTCATTCCTAGGATTTATTTTTCCAAACTAAAAAACCCTGCAAATCTCAAGAGACTGGCTCCCCAAGTGTCTCCACAGCAAACTAGTCAACACTCAAAGACATAAATCTAAAGCATTCCTCACTTCTCTATTTCTTACTAAGCAGTAACATAGAAGGGACCTGTCCTTAAAATGCCCCAGATCTCTTGCAGTTAAATTCTAAGAATGTTTTGGCTCAGTTCACTCCTATTCAATGCTTATCATAAAAGCCTCACTGCAGTAGCTCCTACAGAAGGATGCATACGACCATTCATTAAACCGTGCATTAAAAACAAATTCTGATAAGCCAAAACTGATGTTCATTTTATCAGAGCAAGTAAATGCAATAAAATTACTACTCAATTTACCCTGGTATAACAGAAGAGAAGTACTCCTCTGTTCCTATGTAACTACAGAAAACGTGAGGAAGAGATAAGGGGAAAGATGTTCTCGTCATCTTACTAAAGCAGGATTGCTTTTTATAAATGAATTTCAGAACGCTCTGATTTTGAAAATCCCAGCATGCGATCAGTGAATATAAATCAATATTTAATGCAACCCAGCGGCTGAACGGTCACATTTTGCAAATGAAAGTTCACCAGCTTTTTATATGAAACTAACTGTCTTATATAAACTATAGTTGGGGGGAGGAATTTAATATGCTTAGAGAATATTTCCGTATACCTTTCTAGCATATCTCTAGTTTCATTAAGTAGCTTAATCGTAGCAGTGTCTCTTTCTGTGAGTCCACAGGCCTGGAAAAAACAAAGACAGATGCTATTTAGTGAGAAATGCATTGGCAACTCTAAGAGCAGAAATGGAATAGTTTTGTACCATGGAATTAAGTCAAGATGAGTGCTAAGTCAAATCTATTTAAAATAAAAGATTTGTGATAGTAAATCAGATTTCTTTATAATTTGTGCATGTACACAGATTGATTGATTGACTGATTGATTTTTGTGTGTGGTGTGTTTTTACTGTTTGGGTTTTAGTACTAGCAAGAAATACCAGACTAATCCAGCAGGATGTTTTCTATGTTTGACTACCAAAATTGACAATAAACACTGCACATTAGCATAAGTTAGAGGATAAATGCATGTGGCTACACACTGAAGCCTCAGTTCGTCTTTATACCAGCAATATTACAAATTAAGAACAAGTTTTCACCAATCTGTGATGTGGCTGGAGACAAACACCTTCAGAAAATTTTGGAACTTAATGTTACAACTGAGATCAGAGGCACCTTTCCCTTGACTCCAAGACTTCATTTTCCAGTCCAAAGCAACAAAAAACTCCAGCACACCATCACTTTCTTCCAGCAAAGCTTCTCTCTGAGATGCTACAATTGGCCACGCTCTTTGCTGGTACACAAGTACAAGATAATACAATTTGGCTTTGGGCCACATTGAGCTGCACAATGTTACAGCGTACGTCACAGACTAAAAGCAACTAATCTGGCTATGTTTCTGAGTTCAAAGCTGACATTCTGAGGAAGACCCTTGTTTTCAATCGAGTCTGAAGAAGGTAAGAGATAAGGACACTTCACTTACAAAGGAGGAGGCACGATCATTTATCAAAGATACAGTTACCATGGTGCATCTGGAGGACTGTTATGCACCCCTCCCTCTTCAAAATAAACAAACAAAGGCAGATGAAAAACTGAAGTAAGTACCTGGGTAGCCAAGGGGTTTTCTTCATCTGGCATCAGATAATGACATAAGGGAGAATAAGGTGCACTCTGATCTGAATCTTTATGTTCCACTACTTTCCTGATTTCTTTAAGTTTCTGTTCCAGCTCCAGAAGGGAAAGGGCATGCTTAAGGGAAATACTGGAAAGGAAAAAGTGTTAATTTTGCAGCCAACATTGTAATGATGCATTGTTTATCTGCTGATAATACGCTCACAAATAAAAGGACCCCAGTCTGCTAAGTTGGTTTGCAATGTCAGGCTCACAGCCTGCCAAAATCTTTGTCTGAATAAAGTCTGTGGTGCTTTCCTTGGTTTTGATTCTAATACAACTCATTGTTTTGGGAACTGTCATCACAGTAAAGATGAAAAGCTAATCACAGAAAAATATGGACTCTTACCTTCCAAAAACTTTATGCACAGCTTGTTTAACAATAGTTATTAACTCAGTCAGTCCTAGAACAAGAAAAGTGTCAGAATTATTCTAATGTTTCACTCAAATTTATAAAAAAGTAGCATTTTGTAAGTGTAGTGGTTTATAATAAGCACCATACCGTCTCCTAAAAGGTGCTGAATACTTGATAAATATTGCTGCTGAACTTCAGGGGGAGCTAGCGGGGTCTGTGGGGAAAAAAGAAGTTCTGTGACACATCAACAGTAGACAACAACATAAAACCTGCTTCAAACAGGTTGCAAACACCTTCCTTAATATTTTAATACCATGTAGCAGATGGATTCCCCCATTATCAATGCAGCTCTAGAAAACAACTATATTTGGTTTCCCTGCTAAAGAGAGGTTCCTTCTTAATCACACTAGTTTCCAAACAGAATAAGGTGATTAAAAATTTATTCAAATAAAAATTGAGAAAGAAGACATCAAAAATAGATCGTGACTTCCCTGTAGTCTTTCAGTTTGCTGTGGCCATACTTCCAACCACATGTGAATCATCACAGTCAGACACATAATGGCCAAGCACTTGCCCATCCACCTACCAACTGTCATTATACTCAGACAGACCGCAAGGAATAGCAGGACACTTTTCTGAAGATCCAAATATGCACTTACAGGCTGTCATATTTGAATTGGTTGACAAGAGTCCCAAAGCATATCCTCTCTCACCAGTTGGAAGCTGTAGCTTCTGATTCTCCCTTCCTGTCATCAACCTACAGATCTTTTGAATACTATGGCATTGCTCGCTTCCATGCTACAGACATCTCTTCCATTTTGGTATCACGGAACAATCTTTAAAATCTTCTTTCACTTTTCATTTACATAGGAAAATTTCTTAAAAAATTGTATTGCAAATAGAATGAGACTCTCCACCATGCTAAAAATTAAACCCGGTGGAATAGGATATTTAAGCTCAACCCTAACCAAAGCCATAGGTATCTCCTGACAGAACAGGAGCTTTCAGGAACTGAGAGAGGATCCTCATTTGCTCCAGGAGAGTGTCTCAGAGTTGATCCTGTGAACCCATTCCTCTACTGGAAAAGTTGCAGAAAGGAAACATTTCTACTCCAGATCCTCTTGACTAAAAAAGTTTTTTGGACTCTGCAAAATGAAACACGACCTCCATCATCTCTGGCCTCCCTAATGAAAGCTTTTCTAAACCCTCAGACATGCCTTCACATGCTGCTTTTCCTTGACTCTCAGCAAGAGATATCCCAGAGGGGCATATGACAACTAATTAAGATTTGCACCCATTATTTTCAGGTGATCTGTTCAACAATTTACAACTTACTCCGCATATTTACTTACTCTAGGATTTACTGTTATTGAGCAACAGATACAACATGTAAGCAAAACCTCTTCT